CAAACCTTGACATGTTGTGAAACTCACAATTTTCAACGTCAAAATTCTCAGAACTAGGTAGTGAGCACAGAGAACTTTGTAATCCTAGGCTAGAGAATACATACATGAGGCAGCGTGGTGGAATCAGGCTCTCGTCAATTCTTGGGCATGTAGAGTTATTGGTTTCATCTTAAAGCTTGTCCACTTTTCTTTATTTTGATGAAAAAAGTATCCATTTATCTCGAATACAAGTTGAGATATTTACGAAAGGAGGAGGGGGGGGGGCACCTGTTTTCAGAGATAAGATTAGTGAGAAAATGTCCGCTAAAGGTTAGTTATTTCCTTAGCTTAAGAGTTCATGGTAACTGAAAATGTACGTTTTTGTGCCTTTAATCAACGTTTTTCAGAAAAATCCATACCGAAATGAGTTTTTAATGGGCAAGTCAAAAAACAAAAATCCACAACGCTGCCTCACATATATTTAAAAACATCTATAAATAGCTTAGTTTAAACTTTATTTTAACACAATTCACAAACCATTACACATAGCTTCAAGTAAGCTTTATGCGAACAATAGAATTTATTCTTTTTCTGATGCAATGATGTCACGACACAGTGGAATCAGGCGCTTGTCAACTATTGAGCACGATCAATGTGGAGTTTTTGTATAATTTCAAAGTTTGTTCATTTGTCTTGCTTTGGAAGAAAATATATCCGTTTATCTTGAATACAAGTCGAGATATTGAAGGAGGTGGGGATCACCTGGTCTCAGAGGTAAAAATTAGTGAGAAAATGGCCACCAAAGTTTGGTTATTTCCTTAGCTGGAAAGTCCGTGGAAACAGAAAATGTACACTTTTTTATACCTTTAATTGACGTTTTTCAGCATAATCCACACATAAATGTGTTCTTTAATAGATATGGAAGGTGTTGAGCCAAAAAAATAAATAAATTCCCAAAACCTGCAGAAAAAAGCCAGTTTTTTTCGCGTTCATTATTTTGACATGAGGTTGATTTCACCACGCTGCCTCACACTATGTCTCATATCGTCAGTGACGTAAGCACTTCGCTGGAGTTCCTTTAGGTACTCTTTACAAAAGAGGGGAAAAAAAAACCCCGACTGTTTTTGTTGTGTTGTTCCTATCAGGAATCATGAAAAGCGAGACAGTAATTGTAGTCCTAAGCCTTGACCATAGCATTGAACAGCATTTTTGGTGATGTTAAAAGGTGCATCTTTGGTCATGGTAGAG